CAAGAAGAGCTAAATGATCTGATTCATGACTTGTTTCTATCAAAGCAGCATGGGGAACTTCTTGGCTATTGTTTACAGCAATGGAATTTATTAGCTCCAGGAACAAGGGTTAAAATTTACTGAAATCGCTATCAGAGTTCTGCTTCTCATTACAGCATGCAAGATACTTTAGGCACTGAACATCATTCTCAAAAATGAAGACTTTTCATCAACTCAACTAAAGTTAGTCTGAAAGCTGTACTTTTGCACAATGGAAACACTAAGCCATCGATTTCTGTTGCTCATGTTGTAAACATGAAAGAAACGTATAAAATCATGCAGATTCTATAATACATTCTTAAATGCAATTTTCAATGAATTAATAAGGTTATTAAAGAAAAAGTTGTTATTTTTACGATATTAAAGAATATTTTGAATAAATCTATCATAACTTGAAAACTAGAGGTGATCAGTAATTTTCAACATGATTCTTAGAATCAACATCATCAAATTACTCAGAAACAGTTGTAAGTTTTTGTTTTATTTGTTTATTTGTTATATTTGTTCTAGTAGCAAGAACATTTTTTTGTTGTCCAGCATAATACCAGAATTTAATATTCTTGAATGACTGGTTCTTTGGCTCATGACGTAACTTACAACAGATACACAGATGACCCCCAGTAGCACAGGGGTCTCGAGTTCAAGTGTCATTCTGTTTATCGACTTTTCACGTAAAATTTTAATTATGACACTCGGAATCATTCTCTGCTTACCGATTTTTTTCACGTAAAATGTTTAATATTAATTATTACGATATAATAATATTACCATTCCACTTGTTATTAACTCATTTATAGTATTATTCAGCCAAGTATCGTGCATCTACTGTTTACATCTTTATGTAAAACATTTTCAATTGAAGTCGCCTACTACTCCAGTATGGTACAAATTAGGATAAACGAGACAAAATATCCATCGTCCAATTTAACATTGATAAAAACAACGCAATAAAATATGTGTAAGAAGGACATCTTTATTTCTAGCCGCGGCATAAAGGCTCACAGAAAGGCTTAGAGTTTGTTTTTATTTTTTCAAGTACAAACGTTTAGCTCTGATATTTCTTGACCGATTTGAGATATAATTACAGTTTTAGACTTAGGAGGTCAAACCCTTTCGATTGATGTGTTTGACCACGCTCAAAGTCTCATAGATTAATTTACTCTAATCCTGCCTAAAAGAATTGAAAGTGCCGTGGATATTGAGGATTATTTCTTGTTATACATTGAAAGTTATTGCTTAATGTTTATTAAGACATATTACTCATTTACATAACAAAATGCGCATAAGCTTTGATAAAAATGCCAAAAGCAACGTAATTTATTTTGTTATGGTTTTCGTTTCTTTAAAATTTATAAAAAGATCCTTAAAATTATTTGTATGTCCATCAACAACACGTGATGTTTCTACTACTGTTTCCTTCTTCACAGAGAATTATCAAGCAAATCCTAACCAAACAAACTACAAAGAATGTCTAGTGAAACGTTAATCTCAGCTCAACCTCTATTTCCATGCCCTTGTAAACAGAATTCAAACTGAAACATTGTTAAAAATCGGAATGATTAGTTAATATCGAACCTCGATTTTTACCGTTATAAGCTCTCATACCGCCAAATAAACTGAACACCTATGATTGGTTAGATTAATAACCCGTATAAGTATTTTTAATTAGACCGTGCACTTATAAATCGATAGCCCCCCGTGGCGCAGCGACATGTCTGCGGACTTACAACGCTAGAATCCGGGTTTCGATACCCGTGGTGTAGCTTTGCGCTTAATTACAAACAGAAAGACATTAATCGATGGATTGATAGTTATGTATGTTCACGCGTATACGACAGTGAATATTATCTCCGGATTCTTTCCATGCGGCACTTCTTTCTAGCTTGTATGTATTTTTAAACGTTAAATTATATGCAGCCTTCAGTAAAATTCTTCCAGCTCTATCTATATTGAATTTTTCGAAATCTTACTTCCGAGATATCTTGGCGTACTTAGACAACTCAAATTAAGGAATTTTCTAAGGTCCCTAAATTTGAGTTAAGATATCGCTGTATCAAGATTTCGAAAAATGCAATACAGAAATAGTTAGAAGTAAAGTAAATCGCCAGTAAAATACATGTTCTCTTTCCAAGATCTGAGCTGTCAAAAAACGCACAATTTCATGTTTTTTTTTTCCTATTCTTTATTGTACATATTTCTGTATGAAATATTTCGGGGTTCATGAACGCCATTTTAAATATCCCGCTAGGTACATCTTATAGGAACTAGTTATATTGATGGCTGATAAAACTGGAGTGATCGGACGAATTTAAAGAATTAGGTAAAACAAAGCATAGCTATTAATTAAGCATTTTCATATTAATGATTATCAAAGGAAAAAAAGTGGGTGAAAAAGGTTTATTTATGTGGATCCATGTAAATAACTATTTTCAGATAATAAATTAGCATAGTATCCATCAGTTTTCTTGCATGCATGCGGCTATTTCAGTCTTTTCGTAGTGTAGCTAAAACAATTAATTCCAACGACAAATAAGATATACTTTTAATCACATTCTCAATAATATATAAAATTAAAAAATAATATCTCACACTCGTGATAAAAATCGTGTTTAGCTGTAGATGTCTTTCACATTCCTGAAAAAAATCAAATCAAAAGAGCAAGAAAAAGAAAAATTATATAAATATTATCTTCTAAAAATAAAAATGGTATTTAACATTAAAGAAACCGGACATACAAAATAATTCAATATTATGATAACGTGTTAGCTCAATGTGTTTGCACTAGCCTTCCTAATTTTGAAGTGATAGACTAGAGGGAAGGATGCTAGTCAACACCACCTACCCCTAACTCTTGGGCTGCTCTTTAGCAACGAATAATGGAGTTGACCGTCCTATTATAATGCCCCCACAGGGCGAGCATGTGCGGAGTTTCAATCCCGTGAACCACAGACTGCGTGCGAAAGTATCGCTCTTGTCAACTGACCATGTCAGGCCTATTAAAAGAATTAAGAAAAAAGCTAAAACCTTACATACAAATATTGTAGAAAAACTATAACTTTTTGCCAGAAAACTAATTTTACTGAGAATATAAACACATGTATTTTATTTTAGTTGAATTCATAAACTGTTTTATTAATATTGGCACATTGTATACTCCAGCATTAAAATTTCTATCTGTTTCGAAGGTTTAATGATTTCTGAGATTAAGCATATAATTTATTTGGAGACATTCTTTGAAGAATAAAAATAGCACAATTGAAGGTAATTTTTGTCTCAGTTTAAGTGTAGCATGTATTTATAATTAAAAGAATAGCATGCGTCTGTCAGTTCCTATTGGCTAATTATATAATGGTACTTTTACGTTCATACGAGTGCAAAAGTGAAAGATGTGTAACGGGCATTATTCAATACGAGTACAAACACCTAAGACAATTACTTCACTAATGTAAACAAACACGCAAAGAAACACGTTAAGTTGATTATTTAATTTTCTTGGCTTATAAGTAATGTAATACCATTATATTGCCATACAAATTCTAACAGGCACCTAAAAATCGATAGTTAAGCCTATAGTTTAAATATGATTCGTACGCGAATCATAAGTTTACCCGCTAGGGTAATAAAATATTACACCATTTCCGTTATTGGTGGTAGTGCACCCGAGTTAATTAATACTTTAGGTGGTAGTAAAAAAAAAGTTGAAACCATTATGGAAGAAAAAGAAAAATAAGTGAAAAAGCGACAAACGAAGACAATTGATTTTTTACACTTCTTGATACCATAATTTAAAATGTGCACTATTTCATTACGTCGCTTTATCATGAGTTCGATTAAGGAAAAAAATTCAAGAGCTTTGTCAAAGATGACGATTATCCAGAAAGACAAGATGTTTATAGAAAATTGTTGGTTACAGAGATATATTTTGTTTATAGTCATTTATAGCTTTGTCAAAGATGACGATTATCCAGAAAGACAAGATGTTTATAGAAAATTGTTGGTTACAGAGATATATTTTGTTTATAGTCATTTATAGCTTTGTCAAAGATGACGATTATCCAGAAAGACAAGATGTTTATAGAAAAATGTTGGTTACAGAGATATATTTTGTTTATAGTCATTCTATGTTTTTTCATTGATTTACTTTAAATCTAAATACAACTTCCTCCATATTCTGCTTAGTACGTTTTTGTTTCATTCATGTCCTACTACACAATACAACAACAGCATCATTTAAAACACATACCCTTCCCATATATATATATAGTATTCCACTTAATAATGCTGAATATGCGAAACATTTTGGGGCTTTAGACACAGCACACGCTTCGAATGTGAGAGGTCAAGGATTCAAACTCGTCTACATTCCTTGCCCTAATTTTTTGTCTAAACAATGTTTCACTAGTCAAATAATTTTAGTACAAACATCGTAAGTGAAGCGCGAGTTTCTCCTCTAGTTTTTACTTGAAAACGTATCGAACAGAAAGTGCGGCATACCAAACATACGAATTACAGATAATTTAAATAACAGCTCTTATTCATTTAAACGGCAAAACTTAAAATATAAGGGAAGAACATATTATGAGAGAATTATTACGTTTCAGGTATAAAATATCGCATTGATTACATTGTATTTGCTTATCTAATGCCTAAAAGTGATTATTTTATAAATATATGCGAATGAAACAGTCGACTTCCTTGTTTTATCAATAAGTTAAGTAGTACTAAAGGAATTATGAAAATAATACTGCTTAGGCTAATTACTATATGTACTAAAGAAAAGAATCTTCACAGCAGTGAACCAAGTTGTCAATATAAATTCTCTTTAAAACTAAAAGAACAAACGTTTCATCCATGAAAATTCAGAAATAAAGCGTTTTTAGTCGATTTGATATGTTCAGGGACTTGTGATTTATCACTAACGTGGTGTAATTTGATTGCACTTTTTTTTCCCTCTTCCCCAGAATGGCTCAGCACAATAAACGTGGATCAGCACCGCCCATTCATTCGTCTTCTCCTAGCACTAGCACAGCACTGTCTCCTGTAGTCCAACAGGCTCAACAGTACTTGGAACAAAACATCAGGGCGTGGTTGGCACCAAAGCATAGACAGGTATGATTTGTCCAAATATTGTGACATTTAAAAATTTACCGTCCATATCAAATGTGACAAAATACAGCTTCTAAACACGGAAAACGTAATTTGGATCTTTACACTCTTGCACATATATTTTAACTTCAATATTTCATGTTGGGAAACGTAAAATTGGAATTTTATTCCAGTTGGAACGATGTCAACATGGCAGTAAACACAGTGAAACATTCAAACCCGAGTGTAGCAACAAAATAACTGTAATGTTTTATATGAAATCCCATTTTATAACTTATAAATTGCTACATGTTTTTAACTTCAACGAAGACAAACTGCAAACTGAATTATTTATGTTTAAAGCATAACACATAAACTTTAACATATTGTAACTGTAGTTACCACAAATCGTAGAATAACTTTTATAACTAAATAAATGTTTTAAATCTATAAGTTCCAACTTGAATTTTGCTTATAGCAACTTGTAACAATTATAGTTAATTGCTGCTTTCATAATCTATAAAATAAAACGTATTTTAATTTTCATTACTCGAAAAAAAAAGGTAAAACATTTAACATCATCATTGCTTTTGTAACTATGAATTAATATATATTTTAACTATGACTACTGTAAGGTATAAACTGTAACATATATATTCCTTGCTTATGTAATCTACGAACTAACTAAAACCTTCTTTGTGGTTGCTACAAATTGTAAAAACACGTAACATTTGGCCACTGTGTTTATTTTCTAGCCTATAGATAATAATTACAAACCATTTATAAATCTCAGTAATGAAATCTTGAACCTAACATCAGCATTGAATTGGTTTATGTACAACCTATAGATTCTTACACATTTTTAGCTTATATAGCTTTCTAACACTTTTTATTTTGCTCCCTAGTGCCACAGCGATGTGTCTGTGGACTTACAACGCTAGAAACCGGGTTTCGATACCGGTGGTGGGCAGAGTAGTAGAAAGCCCATTCTGTAGCTTTGTGCTTAACTTCAAACAAACAAATCTGATACATTTTTATTCTTGCGTCTGACTATTGAATAATTAAACTGTAATCTGTATGTAAAGGATACTTGAATAATCTATAGTTGCTGGCACATTTTTTATATCTGAGAAATGAAATCGTTAAATTGTAAAATTTATGTAGAACAGATACTTGTATAATGAACACATCTTAGAACATTTTAAAATGTAACTACTGAAACAGTTAATTTATAACATCTATATTTAATGGGTGCTTCGTCGCAGTTGAAATATCTATTATTTCACCATTCCATACATTTATTCAGTTGAAGGATCTGCTATTTCAGTTTTCCATAGCTTTATTCAGTTGAAGGATCTGCTATTTCACTTTTCCATAGAGAAATAGCAGATCCTTCAGCTGAATAAAGCTATGGAAAAGTGAAATAGCAGATCCTTCAACTGAATAAAACGTTTCCATAGCTTTGTTTAAGTATAATCAGGTAATTATTTCTAAACGTAGTTGCTCTGCAGTAGTTAGTTTGCATTCTTGTAAACAGGCAGTAGAAAGACCTAAACTTGCGTTAACCCTCAAGTCTAGATAAAGCTGCTTACATGGCATAGCAATTGTTCTATAAAGGTTTATAATTATGGACCTTGTTATTGTATCGTTTACTCTTAGAGTAAGATCCTATTCATTTCAAGGGGGTAATACAGAGACTTAGGCAAGCTAGTGTAAGTTAGCGGTTTATCTCCTTTGGAAATATATATTGATTATGTTTGCTGACATAGGTAATCTGGGATTATGGATACCGCATTAGGATTTTCATTTGACTTGACAATGCAATATATCACGATTCTTTTTTCCTGGATTCGTATCCTGCATACGTGCTTTTCTCAGTTATAGCAGAGAGAGATAGAATATGAAAGCTAGTCATTGAGATAAAGTCCCAGCACCACGTTTCATTTATATTTTGACTAAAGATTCTATTTTACTTACTTCTGGATGATTCTTTTCTTTTGTTGTCCGTGATCATAATTAATTATTGTTAAACTGAATCTGCTCGTTATTGCAGATACTTATAACTTCATGTTGTACATTAACATACCTGAATACCACAGTTGTATAACTTATGAGTTGTAACACTCTTTAGTTTTTAACTGTCTCAAATCCTAAGTTTTTATCATTAACCTCTAAGTCCGAAAATACTGGTCCCCTTATAATTGAAGAAATTGATTATTGTGTATGTAATATTAGGATTTCTGTTATGTACCAAGGTTTGTATTTGGGTATGTGTATTACCCTACACTTTACTTGTTTTTTTTTTCCTCGCAGCTTTATTGTGCCTTTTGTTTGTTAGGGATTTTGTAATGATTTCATATGGGGTATTTTTCGACGTGATGTACCCAATAACCTACGTTTATTCTTGATAGGATAAAATACGATATCCTAGACATGCATTTAGTCATAGTTTTAAACATAAGCATGATAATTTACCAGTAACTACTGTCTTGACCGGTGGTCATTTAATTATCAGTTGCTTACTCGTTTGACCAATGGGGGTTTTAGTCAATCGTTATAAGTCATTTTAATTATGGTATATACCTACAGTGCTATACCCACAAGCGTCTAGAGTCTAGGGGATCGTCTTCACGCATACAGCATTAAGTGCTTAACTATATTTGTTTGTTTATCAAAACATGATGCATTTCAGTTTGAATGTTTATATGTGTAAGATCCTCAAACGTTACTTTGATAAACATGGGAAATACTACTACCTTAGCTTACTATGTGTTTCATCTATAGTCAGACGTAATGACAACTACAAAATTCAGTCAGTAAAATCACCGAATGTCTTTCTGGTGACATCAAAACAGGCACACAGTAACATGTTCTAAATACCAAGAAGCACACCACAACAATAGATGAAACTGATATGCGTATAAAATACGTTGATTATGAACGTATTTAGAGTTGTTTATATAAGAACTTACGAGTGAAAGTAAAAAAGTATGCAATAATGTATCAATCACAATATATTCTACATCCAGTACTGAGAAATGTTGCACCAACAACAAGATGAAGGAATGTAACAAACTAGGAATGCACTAAAGTTTTCTTATTAACTGAAGTTTAACGTCCAGTGCTAGTTAAAATATATCAACAGTTATAATTATTTCTGTTTACATCAAGACAGACATGCAGTAATATGTTTTAAGTAACAAAAGGTGCAATACAACAATATCTGTACAACGATATTTGTAATATTACGTTCAATGCGAACATAGTTAAAGTTGAGAAATGTTGCACCACCACCAGCAACAACAAGAAGTATGTTTGTAATATTACGTTCAATGCGAACATAGTTAAAGTTGAGAAATGTTGCACCACCACCAGCAACAACAAGAAGTATTCTAACAAATTAGAAATATATTAAAATTCTGTTATTAATCAAAGTTTGATGTTCGTTGATATCTTACAATATGTAGGCTTTCAGAGGATCCAAGAACTAACTGTCATGGTTTTGCTTGTTACCTTCCTTCCAGCTGTCATGATCTAGCTTCTTACCTTCCTTCTAATTAAGCTAGATCATGACAGTTAGAAGGCAGGTAAGAAGCTAGACCATGATAGTTAGAAGGAAGGTAAGAAACTAGATCATGACAGTTAGAAGGAAGGTAAGAAGCTAGATCATGATAGTTAGAAGGAATGTTAGAAACTAGATCATGACAGTTAGAAGGAAGGTAAGAAGCTAGATCATGACAGTTAGAAGGCAGGTAAGAAGCTAGACCATGATAGTTAGAAGGAAGGTAAGAAACTAGATCATGACGTTAAAACAATGATAAAACGCTTTCAGTTATGAATCGCCTTGCGGAAGACCACATGTTCTCGAAACATTGTATTCTATAATAATTGAATATAATCATTACTTTTATATATTACACATTGTAAAATATTATCTAACAACATTTGTATATAGTCATCGCTTTTTTAACAAATGAATTGTATAACGTCTTTAATTCTCATTGGTGAAAGCTGTAATATATACTAGCAGAAGCCCACAAAACATTGTGGTCAAATTAATATCTTTATTGCAATAGCACTTCTTAAAAACAGGATTTCTAGAATAATGCAAAATAATTCTAATCGCAGACACCGAAATCTATAAGTCCACTTGTCGTAGGCCTAACTTTATTAAGTACAGACTATATTCAATAAAGAGATAAATTAACACTGTAACTTGTGTACGTTTTATACTTTACTTCAGTTAGTGTTAAACTTTACTGTACTTAATGCTATCAATAAATAGATTTATAATGTTATTTTACGACTTAACATTAGACTTATTTTAAAAGCTTTCAATATGTTGTTGTATAAAATGTCTACTAAAATATACGCCACCCCAGTGGCACAGCGGTATGTCTGCGGACTCACAATGCTAGAATCCGGGTTTTGATACCCGTGGTGGGCAGAGCACATATAGCCTATTGTGTAGCTTTGTGCTTAATTACAAACAAACTAAAATATATTAATATGCCACACGTACGCAGGGGGAATTCGAGGGGATTAGGTCGAACCCCCTATTTTTGTGATGTAAAAAAAATATGCTTATATAGTTATAGCGCAGCTGCTTATGGCGTTAAACGTTTTCTACATAGTCTACCTTCATCTGATGAACAATTAGCATTTTTTTGGCTTCAAATAGTTGCATGCAGTGGCTTCTCTTGATACTTTGTATTTGGAAGTCCGAAGCCGTATTGCCACTGTCAGGTTTTGTAGGCCGGATTCTTTGCCTCTCCAGGACAGGCCCCAAATACTGGATGACTGCTTAAAAGTGTGTTTCATTGTACCAAATATCTTAATGTTACTGAAATTAGTTGCCACACTGCAACTAAGATCATGTTCATCTGAACGTTCAGCATCTGCTCTCCACAGGTTGAATATTTACCTGAGGTTTACACAAATCAAAGAAAGACTAAGTGCTCTAGCTTTATTACATAACCATTATGACACTGCTGTTAACATTGAAACTGTATGAAGTTACTTAT